AAAAAAAAAAAAAAAAAAAAAAAAAAAAAAAAAAAAAAAAAAAAAAAAAAAAAACCTTTTATGAATTTACTATATAGTGAGTAGTGTCTCTCACCTTAATGGTCGCAATATGTGCTGTCGTCACTCTCGGAAGCTCCACCTTGTTGAACACCAATGTCGGTGCATCTCTATTCTTCCTGATGATCGGCGCCCATTTTGAAACCTCCTCCTTTGCCTTGCTGTACCCTACTTGCCTCTCCACTCTCTCTTTGATAGGCTTGGCCAGGGGGACAGCAACAGGGGGAGCCGCCGTCCGCTGAAGGGCGTCCATTTTTTTCCTTAGAGCCGCGAACCCTTGTGTTCCTGCCAACGACCCCACCAGCTCGCTTACGGTCACCTTACCACCTCCTTCTCTCACTCCTGCGGTCGCGACCCCGACTCCCACGTTGAATTCCGACTCCGGGAACGCTTCCGAAACCACCGTGGAGGTCCGCTTTCGCCTGCTGCTGTCCGTCTGCTGCTGCCGCTTTTTCCCGCCATCTTTCTCTCCATCCTTTCCCGCCAAAACTCGGCCAGTTACCGCCTCCAGCATCATCCTGTGACGCTCTGCCACGTCAGCATCGTTATCCACATCGCCATCCTCCTCATCATCCTCATCGTCCATCATATCTTCTTCATCTTCTTCCTCCTCCTCCTCGAGATCTTCCATAGCTGAAATTTCTTCTTCTTCGTCTTGCTGAAAAGATTTAGTATCGTCGCCGCTGTCATCGGATTGCTCTTTTTTTGTCTTTTCTGCCCTTACAGATAAGGATGTTCCCGAAGGTCGTCGCTTCTTCTTTCTCGCGCTTTTTCTCTGCCCCGCTCTATCCTTTCCATCTTCTTCTTCTTCTTCTTCTTCTTCTTCTTTTTCAGTTGCGTCTTCTTCCCCTCCCGCCTCATCACTTTCCCCTTCCTCCTCCTCCTCGTCTTCTTCTTCGTCGTCTTCTTCCTCCTTTTCTACTTCTTCATCGCTTTCCTCGTCAGATTTCAAATCGATTTCGCCATCGCCAGCACTCTCATCGTCTTCCTCCTCCTCCTCTTCTTCTTCTTCTTCTTGGCTGTCAGCCATCGCTTCACCAAAACGTTTTTTATCTTCTGCGGTGAACGCCTCATCCTCGTCAATCTCCTCATCCTTTACAGAAATCAATTCAGAAAATTCAGAATGACAACAGGGATAAGAAGATATTAATCATAAAAAAAAAAAAAAAAAGATAGTAGATGCAAAAAAATAGTGGAGAGATAAATGTCTAGAAATTAGTAATTAGCGGATGAAAAACTCCGCACTTAAATTTTTGAAAAAAAAAAAAAAAATGTAGGAAAGGATATTGAAAAGAAAAAAAGGATAGAATATATAATAATGAGAATGACCGGTCACACGTGGAGATGGTGAGAATCTAACAAGAGGGGGATTCCTACTTGCCTGAATAGGAAAGTAGCGGTCGACGAAACAATGCCAAGGGGAGTAGTAGTCGCACCGGGAGGTTTCCGACTGAGTGAATCTGGTCGTTGTTGCCGTCAAATACATGCAGGAATTCCATAAGTTTGCCCTAATTGATTGATGAGAAGAGCAGAGCCGCCGTCGTTTGCTTTTTTGGGAAATTGCGCGATCAGCAACAGGCGGTCGGCCTCGCTCGACTTCACATCATTCCACATGTATCTGGACAAGCAATGGACCAGATACATTTGGACCGATCCAACCTTTTGAATGTATAAGGACCATGGCCAGCTCCAGATACATTTAGAATCTTGTATTAGTGGAGCAAGGCCCTACATCAGACTGCTCGGAGATGGGGTGTTCTGCGTATTAACCCCACTCCCCCCCCTCCAAGCGACGAGATGTCTTCAACATTAATTCATTAAATTTTCCCTCAATTATTTATTTTCAAACAAAATAAAATTAATACTGTAATAGCATTTTCAAACCTTTTTTTTCCTTATATTATTCTTATCAGCAATTCTACATATGATAAATACGTAAAAGACCAAAAGGGCAAACTGTTTGCCTGCCGAATGAATGGGCCTCGCCACACTACTCACGGAAACGAAAAAATGCGAATGCATCTGCACGCACAAGTTGGCAAGATACATCCGTTGCTAGTGACAGTAAAGGATGTATTTTGCCACTTTTGTCGCCCAGATGCACTCGCATTTTTTTCGTTTCCGTGAGTAGTGTAGCGAGGCCCACAGAAAGCTCCAGCGCAATCCCATTTATCGGTCGCATATTGCGCCTGCAAATTATTATTATTATTATTTATTTTTTTTTTAAACAAAAAGGAGAGAGACATTCGCACAGATTGCACCCTACCAGCATCTCTCCTGCTCTCTCTCCCTTCCCTACGGGAGAACAAAAAGGTGTTCATGCTTTTTTTTTTTTTTTTTTTCCCTTCCTTTYTTTTTTTTTCTCCTTATTTACAAAGGAACACAGCCCTGACATATCATCGTGAATCTGACCGGCGCTACATAGATACGTCATTCAGGAAATTTCTTTCGTCTGGTTCCACCTGGGTTCGAACTCGCATCTCCATCTGCATCTGCATCTGCATTTCCGCATTTCCGCATTTCCGTTGAAAGACGTGAGTTCGAAGCCCGGTGCAACCCAGGTGGATCAGCTTCCATAGCTTCGTACTAGCTTTTTCTTTTTTTTTTTTTTTTTTGAAACAGGTCCTTATGGCCCTGGCTTCATTTAGCTTCGTACTAGCTTAAGAAATTAACATTAGCATTTCCGTTGAAAGACGTGAGTTCGAATTTTCACGTCTGGTTCCACCTGGGTTCGAACTCGCATTTGCATCTGCATTTTTCCGTGCCGTTGAAAGACGAGAGTTCGAATCGAGGAGGAAGCAGACGTGAATTCGAAACAGAGCGAAGCTTAATTTAATTACCCTTTTTCTCAATGGTAAATTTAAAATTTCAACATTTCCGTTCTTTTTGTTCCAATTTCTACATTTCAGACAGACACTTTTTGCGTTCATTAATTGATCGCAGCCTATTTATTGTTAAACATTTAAAAATAAAATTAAAAATTAAAAATTAAAATTAAAATTAAAAAAATCAAAATAAAAATCAAAATAAAAATAAAAATAAAAATAAAAATAAAAATAAAAATAAAAACTGAAAACTGAAAATGAAAATGAAAATGAAAATAAAAATAAAAATAAAAAAGACAGGCCCAGATCTCAACAAAGGAAGGGAGAGATCGAGACGCGATGGCGCCCCCACTTCCTCCCCCCTTCCCTCCCCCCTTCCCTCCCCCTTTCCCCCCTACCTCCCCCATTCCCCCCCAAAGACACACCGACATGGAGAGAAACACAGAGAGAGAGAGAGAGGAAATCGACGACAGACAGGCAGGCAGCCAGGCAAGCAAATACCGTCTTCCCCAAACCCAACGCATCCCGATCTCATATGTATACAAGCTATTTTCCGGGCCCAATACAGGCACGATCAGGGCTCGATACACTCAATCCAACGCACCCTGATCATGAATGTATCCGAACCATTTCTCCGGCCCGATACAATCATGATCAGGGTTTGACAGTCATGCTCTGGTCTCGCTACAGTCATGATGCCCAGGTCTCGCTGCAGTCATGATCACATGATGAGGATGCGTTGTGTTCGGGGGAAGACGGTAGTAAATAAAGAAAAAAGAAAGAAAAAAGAAAAGGGGGGAAAAAAAAAAAAACGAAGAAGAAGAAATGAATCCCCACCCATCCGCACCTCGTGAAAAATTAAAATTAAGGTTAAATTTTATAATAATAAAAAAAAAAATTAAGTCGAAAATAATTACTGTATTGAAAAAGAAAACATACCTCGAAATCCTCGGGCAGCTCGTACTCATAGACCTCCATGTTATCGTAGCGCCTATTTTTCCCCCTCTCCTCGTCTGCCACCTCCTCTTCATATTCATAAGGATCTTGGGTCATCCCATGGACACCCCCCTCTTGCTCCTGCTGACCCGCCTTTTGCCCCTGCCGACCCCCCTTCCTATTCTGCCCCTGCCCCCCCCTCCCTCCATGTCGGCTGCCATTATCTTCGTCACCTCTGCCTGGACCTCGAAATCCTACTTTGCGCCTACCTTCCGCCATCGCCCCCCTCCCTCCCCTTCCTCTCCCTCCCCTTCCTCTCGATCCACCCCGTCCACCCCCAGGTCCACCCCGCTGAGACCGGCCCCTCTCTTGGATTACGCGCTGGCCCGCCATTGTCAACTGGCGGGAAAAACGTTTGCCACCCAAAAGCTACTTTTATCTCACTGTTAACAATCTTGCTCCACCTCTCTCTCTCTCTCTCTCTCTCTCTCTCTCTCTCTCTCTCTCTCTNCTCTCTCTCTCTCTCTCTCTCTCTCTCTCTCTCTCTCTCTCTCTCTCTCTCTCTCTCTCTCTCACACACACACACACACACACACACACAAACAATCAATCAATCAATCAATCAATTAATCAACCTCGACAAAGGCCGATCTGACGCGAGGAAAGATGAAAGAGGGTGCTGCTCAGGGATTATCGACATAGCCACCCGTATAGCAAAGCCATCAAAGAAAATAAAACAGTTAGAGCAGTCTGCTGGTCTCAGCCGTCCGTCCACACCCCCTCCCTCCCTTTCTGGTGTTTTGCTGTTTTCTCCGTTCCCGCCGACGGTACACGGTGTGGATCGATGTGAAGAGCAGTTTCCCAGTTCAACCCTCTGAAAGGTAACAATGCTGTGGGACAATTGATATATGTATGACGGAAAAACACGGAGCGGGTTCCACGCGGCCATTTATACCCGCTCGCCATCCGAATCGGTAGGTGTCCTGCTGCGACTGGCTTTTCCGGACAACTCGTATTCCTATTTTGGATCCAATTTTCACATGGACCCCATCGCAGTCCCAGCTTCCTGGACAATTTCGATGGATGGGGCGGGCCGGGGTTCAAATCCCACCGGGGGTGGTAGTGGGGGACCACGGTGTGGCCGTGAGATGTTAGGGTCGGGTCGGATCGCATGGCAGGAGCGGATGCCTACTCGAGACCAAGTCTAAAGCCCCACTACCGTAGTGGGACTTGGCCCCCGGCCTGTGGAAATGGCCAGTTTGCCCTTCTTCTCTGCAACGAGCCCAACTATCAGACTGAAATGGCTGGCGGTGCGAAACCAAAAGGGGTGGGGGGAGAGGGAGAAGGAGGATGCAGCGGCGGTACCAAGCGGCATATGCCTTGTATTCGAGTGGTTGAACATTTAAAAAAATCAGACAAATTTGAATAGAACGCAGATGCGTTGTAGTCAAAACTTAAGGCCGTTCGAATAGAATGCGTGGCGTTGTATTCGAATAGAAAGCAACCTATGCGTTGTATTCGTTTACAACATATATGCATTATGCTTGGAGTTGCCAGCACTGGGGTTTGCCGAAGCCTATGGCCACCATACCTAGCCAGCCCCATGCAGGTCGTATTCGTCCTTCGTGGACGCAAAGCTTGTCGGGCATAGCCGATTAAGTGTGTTAATCCTTTGTGGGCGCAAATAGCCGATTGAGTGTGTTCATCCTTTGTGGGCGCAAAGCTCGTAGCCGATTGAGTGTGTGTTGGTAGTGGTAGTGGGTGTGGCACTTGGCAAATGGTGGTTTGACTATTCTTGTGAGTTGGTGCGTCCTGTCTTCAATACTCTACACGGAGCTAAGATGAGGGTTTTTTTGCGCAACTGGTCTCCCATACGAAGTCAGTTGTTGATGCACTACTACGTCAAAGTTCAATGCTAGTACATGCCACATATCGGTCGCGGGCGAAACGCTGACCGCCAATTGATTTTATCAACGACTCACGAGCACCCACTTTTCCGGAGTAGGTCACAAACAATTATCCACAAGTTAAAGTTCAGATGGCTGGTGGAAACGCGATGTAGTTGGAGCATTCCAAAGGAGGGTTGAGGAAGGATTTTACAGCAAAGTCATGTTGTGCTATGGTGTTAAAAAAGCAAGAAGAGAATCCGGCCTATCCAAAAAGAAAAAAAATTGAAACCAACTAGTTGATGAATTAAAGGACATTAAAACAATGATGAAAGATTTTTTTGTGTCATGAAGAATATTAACAGGGAAAGGGAAAGACATCATCACTGATGGCTGGAAAATTCTCGGTAACTGTACCAATGGGTTGGGAAGCACAAAGTGACCTCCCTATACAGCGCAGCGCTCTCCTTAGTTGAGCTTTCTACGGTCTTACCCCAAACGGGGGCTCGAGATTGTGGTCATGGCAAGACGACCTCTATTGGCAGATCTGCTTCCATACGGGAGTCGACTGACTTACTTGCTGAGATTCGGACACTAGGCATTTTCTATAACGGTCATGGCAGGGACCTATTGGGTCCACCGCCGTCCTTATTATCCTCTTCCTAAGCATCGGAATGGATCTACCCCAAACCACTGTGTTAGATGGAAAGGGGACCATAATCTGAGCCTTTATAGCAACACCGGCACATAATTGTCTGCGGGAGACCACGTGGCCTCACCTACTCATTCTGTCAAAATCCCTTAATAAAAGGAAGGTGTCAACTGTCACTCGACAGTTTATGGACAGCGCTAGTGTTCCACTTTCCAAGAAAAATATCCAACACATCCGCTAGATCATTAATTTTCGACGTCAACTCGAACTATTAAAAACATCCCTCGCCAGCTTCTACATCCTCAAAGATGCACACGAACAGTTCTCTAGTCAGTGTTGGACAACCTCATCAAGCTTGGATAACCAATTATTCCACATTCTCTTTTTAAACGAAGCGCACAACATCAATTGGGGCAATAATCAAGACGAATTTAAGGATGCAGAGAGAGATGCACGAAAAATTGTGAAGTCATAACCACAATGAAGAAGCGTGAGAGGAAGCAACATGCGCAAGCGCGATGAAGTAAGAAAGAACAGGGTCGTTTTTTTAGAGTAAGTAAGAGGGGAGGTCGAAGTTAAAGAAGCAATCATCAATTCGTGATTTATTGAGGAGCAGAGAGGTGGGGATCAAAAGAGTGAAAAATACGAGAGGGGTACACATCTCGATGTCGAAAAAAATCACCATGTATGTCAATTTGTTCTCCTGATGCATGCATTTTTTATAAAAAACTTAATACAGTCTCATAACTCCTCTAAAACAAATGCACAATCACGTAACTTCCCATACATATCACACTGCTTCTTAGATGAACATAAATGAAAATTGTCATTGCATGCAACGATGAAGATAGCGCCATGTATCGACATTTGTAAAATGTATCACAATGTTACGAGCTCGTTATACAGACAGTTGTTAATCCTTTGGTGCATCGTGGTGTTCACAATTGCCACGAAAAGATAACCATCATCGAGCTTACAAATTCCTATAAGCCCCGAAATGCTACGAGTCTGTTAAACTTATCAGAAAACAATAAAAAAAAAACTTACAGTATTCACATTTAAAAAAAATACAATGCAATAGTCTAAGAAACTTTTATCACACGACGAGATCCTTAGTTTAATGCTATGGCAAGCTAGTTGACGATGACAAAAGAAAGATAGTAAAAAATGGGCAATCCAAAAGAAAGATTACTTTAACTCATTTGATTATTTTTCATGAAACCCAGAGGAAGAGAAACACGTAGTGAAAGGGCAAGGGCGACCGTATGACACGTGGTGATGATCATCTTTGTCGAGTGGCGGCCATGAACCTTCGTCACCATGCACTATATAATGTTCACCCCATTTTGACCACATGCAACCACAAGGAACTACAAGAAAATCTTAGTGTTAGTTTTTATACAAAAACAAATTTTATTACTTGGACTACGTCGTCAAATTTCCACTCCGCCACGAACCAATGTTTCATTATAAGCATCATACCTACGGACATCACATTTATCAGCTAAATCAATGATTTATTGTTTTTTTCGAGCTTGTCAGTAAAAACCTCATTCCATTAATTATAAATACATTCAAACTTTTCCTTTAAAAAAAAACGAGTTTTATGCCCTGTCGAATTGTTTTTTCTCGATGGCTCTATAATAAAAATAAAGGGAAGGTTATTAATTTGTAACTAAAAGTGGGTCAAATTGATGAACTCATGAAAGACAAAACTATATATGGTGACGATGTGTTTGACAATCTCAAGTCAATGATGCATATCATTTATTGTTATGTAGTAAATCGAACATGTTCGGGTGTTTGGTCGAACGCTTCTCAAACGTGTTTGCTGACAAACTTTTCTTTTTTATACACTTTTTATTTTTAACTCAAGTCTGGTTACAAATTTAAGTATGCATCCCGGACAAAAGTTGCTTGTATTATTATTTTACATAACATATATTTGTTTCATATTTTTATGAGATTTTTTTTTAATATATTTTTACATTCGCGTTCAGATGGTTTTGACGCTTGTTCGCTTTCGGTCGTGAACGTTAGAGTTAGGTCACCGAACACGAATACAATGCTGCACATTTTTTTGTAATATTTCATCGAAATGTGTATTTTTAACATTTGTTTACCGATTTATTCCATTCGTACGAGTGCAAGAATACGTACCGTATTCAAACACCGTGTAAGGTCAAATTACTTTGAACCTCGCCCCTCAACTCCATTCGTTATCTGACAAAAGTTGTTCGGTATCTTAATGCGTACCGATAAATTGTTGATTAAATTTGCACATTCAATTAATTATGGATTTGAGGGAAAGAATAAATATTTTAGGTCGTTATATTATTTAACTTTTGATACTCAATAAATATCCTAATCGTTTTTTTTTTTTTCTTAGGTAGAAATACAACAGAAACCACTAAGGATCGATGATGGGTATGGTTAATCCATTCATACTACATTTATAAAGTGATTCCATGTTATCTGCCTTCATATCGAATAATATTGTTATGAGTCAGTGATTGATGTGTGAATATTATCTCGTTCGAGTTTCATAGTGTAAAATATTTGTTGGCCCTATATAAGTATATGTTTGACCCATAGCATCAAAACAAAAGATGAAGATATCTTCAATTATCATTTGTATTTATAGTGGTATGTTGTTTTTTTTTCTTCGTTAAAAACACAAGAAAAAACCACCAAGGGTCAACCATGAGTTTGGTTAATCCATTCATACTAAATTTCATAAAGTGCTTCCATGTTATCTGCCTTCTCACCAAATAACATCGTTATAAGTTAGTGATTG